TCTATGTGTACTGCATTCTCGAATTGTCCCCTCACTATAGCTACTGTGGATTTTCAGTATACAGCTATCCCCACTCAACGCGTCTATGTGTCTGGCAAACTCAAAAACCAATGCATCTGTGAGGTTTCAGTATGCAGCTATCCTCACTCAACACGTCAATGTGTCCGGCAATCTCCATCACAAATCACCTGTGAGGTTCAGTATGTGCCTGTCCTCATTCAACGCGTCTATCTGTCCGGCACATCACTCAACCCGTGGGGTTTCAGTATGCAGCTATCCCCACTCAACCCGTCCATGTTTCTGGCAATCTCAAACCTCACTCAACGCTTGAGGCTTCAGTATACAGCTGTAATCACTCAACGCGTCTATGTGTCCTGCAATCTCCTACATCACTCAACCTGTGAGGTTTCCGTAAACAGCTATCCTCACTCCACTCGTTCATGCATCACGCGTCTTTGGTAGCGCATATTAAAGGGANACCCGTGGGGTTTCAGTATGCAGCTATCCCCACTCAACCCGTCCATGTTTCTGGCAATCTCAAACCTCACTCAACGCTTGAGGCTTCAGTATACAGCTGTAATCACTCAACGCGTCTATGTGTCCTGCAATCTCCTACATCACTCAACCTGTGAGGTTTCCGTAAACAGCTATCCTCACTCCACTCGTTCATGCATCACGCGTCTTTGGTAGCGCATATTAAAGGGACTATATTTGGGGTGGCGTGTTTTCAGCGCTTTGCCAACAGCGCCAACCCACTTAAGTCTAGAAAGGGGAGACGAAAGGGGGGGGGGCTTCAAAATTGTGGACGAATCGGTCAAGGCAACGCAACTGTTTCCTCAACTAGCGGAAAGACTTTGTTGTCCCTTCGAGTGAGGTTTAAGACCGCGTGATGGTTAGCAGTTAGGAAAGATTATCTCCTGTGGTAGTACAAGAGGCCTCGCCTCCCTTCCTGGCTGGGTCTATATTCCTAGTTGTGAACGGCAAGCCAACACGCAGATTACGCCAACTTCAGGGTAAGGCCCACGGAGAAGTCGCGGCACTCAGCGCCCTCCCCAAACTGTTGTTTCGACTTCTTTCGACCACAGGCAAGGGGGGCCAAATCACGACACAACTACAAACGAAAGGACTGTGTTCAAGAGCAACAATCACGAGATTTCGTGAAGGAGGAAGAAGAGCGCGTCCCGGGAGGCTCATAGGACCCTGCCTCGGCACGAGAACTCTGACCTCGGCATGCTGGCCATGCTCGTGTTCAAGGGATTTTGCATGTCATGGTGAATCGCGGGGTACAGAAGGCGCCATCACTTCGGAATCTCCAATTTTGCCCGAGGCTTGCTCCTCAATTTCTCTGTGGAGTCGCTCCTCAATTTCTCTGTGGGGTCGCTCAACATCGGCCATGAACACAATATTTTGCGTAGGATTCTCATCTGAGTAACTGGCCTTTGGCGAAGTATAGGTCATGTTCTTATCAACCTGGATTTCGCAACTCCCAGGCTCTTCAGTGCGGGCGCGTGGTGCACTTACCGTGTGACGGCGAACGTAGATGGAGTCGCAAGAGTCCACGATAAGCCCGGTGCCTCGGCTTGAAGCAAGGGACCAGGGAGAGTAGAGCCTGCCAAGGTTTGAAGAACAGCGGCCGAAGTCGACGCACGCGGAGGAAGCCAGGCAACATAAGGGATGCGACGGTGGTTGATTGACAGTTGATTACCACTCACAGCGACAAGAGGACAGACGTCGAGCGTCGAAAATCGTGACACTAACGGACTTCTTCCGATGCACGACGCATTCCAGCCGTCGACCTACTATTGCCCCGAGCAAAGCAAACCACTACCGAGAAGCGGGCAACCGACGAAGCCCTCGCGATATGAAGCCAGGAGGCTGAATACAAAGCTTGATTGAATCAAGACACCACCCAGCCTTCTCCTACAGCGTCCCCGTGCTAGCACGATAAAATCCCAGCTGAGCGGTGGATCCTACACCACAGTCTATGCTAGACGGTGAAAACGATACAAAATAGTGACCTTCCACGTTTCATAGTGTTTCTACGGGAGTGTTCTCACTCTTCGTATTCGCCCGCATCGATGCTGATCATGTTCGAGTCGCGCACAACTAAGGCGTCGCCGTCGAGAAAGCGGATCTCGGCGTCTCGCAAAGTGATGTTCTGGGTTGAGACGGTTGGGGGGACAAGCAAAGGGTATCGAATGCTGTGGTCATGGTCAGAAATCACCGCGTATACAAGCGGCTGGCTGCTAGGGCAAGGATCGTGAACTCATGCAGCACGAATAAATACACAAAGAACCAAAACAAATCAGCCGACTAGTTACAGTAGCAAACTGGGGGATGCTCCTAGCATAAAAAGAATCATCCACACGTCACAGGTGAGCTAACGAAAGTACGAGAATATACAACATGCCTTGGCTCACCGTGCTGCCGACAACAGACAATCCGGTCGACCCCAGGCCCGGGACGGCGGGAGTGTCGTTGCTGGTGTCGGGGTCGTAGTGCCCACGGATCCAAATGTTGTCGGTCTGAGAACGTGCAAGACGATTCAGCAGAAGCAAGGGAAAACTCTGAGATGAAGGGAAAAATGGTCAAGATGAACAGAAAGAAAATCGGCGAGGCGGGGGGGTCAGATGCGCTCACCGCAAGCATGCCTTGTGATGTATTTTCCGCCCACGGAGACAGCCGCGGGTCTTAGCCTCGCGAGACCAGCCGAGCGGGTCCTAAAACATCAAAGCTAACGTTTTTGATCCGCCTCCGCTGCAGCCCTTCCATTATATTATCGCAGCTCGCGGTTTTCTTCCTGCGCTTCATTTCTGTCCGCGCTTCGCCTGGTATCGCTGTTCTCAGTGACAAAACTCTACACAGACTCAAAAGAAGCAGAGGCCTCACCATGGCATTGGAAATGCCATCCATGACAACCATTGCGTCAATGTCCGTTTTGCCGGCAGCCCCTTCCTCCAGAATGATGCCGGTGAAGTATGGCGAGTCCTCGGAAAAGCTGAGTACCGGTTGAGAACATGCGTGTACAAGGTAACTGCGAACGGTCGTCGTACAGTAGCTGCTGCACACAGGAACGTAGACGATGTCATGCCAGCATGGCCGGCCTCATCTTTCGATGACATCAACGATGACGACGACGAGCGATAGTCCTAGGCATAAGCTTAGGAGTTGTGCACCGACCCCTGACAAGACCAAGAGGAAGTTGGCCAAAGCTGCAATGATATGTTGAAGCTCTGTTGGTCACATTGCAGGGTCATGCACCGTTGAAGCTCTGCCGGAGAAAGGAGACCCAAAACCTAGTGTGACAGGGACAGGCAACTTCCAAACACATCCATCCGACTGGGGAAACGTTAGTTGTTTTGTATCCGTAAAAGCACCGCTCCCTCCGAATACAGCACGTACCTGCCATCGAGAAAGACACCCGACTTCATGAAGATGTTCCCGTCCACATACCAGCTGCCCTGTGGGAGGACCACCTGGCACGAATGGGGCCCGGAAAGGGTGTGTCCAAAAAACCACCAGATAGAAGACTTCAGAACGGCGTGCCGCTATGTAAGAGGGAACGGGAGAAGCTCCACAGCCCTACGGCAAAATGCGAAAGCACGCCGGAAGGAAACGCATGAAAGAGGCAACAAGGCATGCACAGGGCACATAGCCCATGAGTCAATCGGCCCGACCAGAACGCATTGGCGGAAGAACTACGCCATCCAAAGTAGTACCACAAAATGGAATCGGTGATGAAACCCGCTACCACCATGGAAATTAAAAGAGGCCCGAATGGCCCCCTGTCTTTCCGAACCAAGTTGGAGGTAGAGACGCAGTCTTACCGTGCCGGTGGCGGCGTCATCTCCCCCGACACAGTCCACGCCGTCGAAAGAAGCCTTCTTGACGGTACAGATGGCCTCCATGATGATCTTCTGGTCTCCGGTCCCCTCCGCCACAAAGTCCGGGTAGCGGTCCGTGAGCCCGGTCCATCGCTCGATGAAGGTGGAGCCCACCTGCACAAGCATGGGATGTGTCTCAACGATTGAGCAGTCATGGCCGCCTAAGTATCCCGATCCTAACACCTGAGAATCATGCCACCACGGCGGGTCTCAGATCATGCGACGAAAAAATACATCTTGATTCAAATAACTGTTTCCTGCTGGCATTTACGTCGTGAGAGCATAAAGAGGGGCCATTTTCACAGTTGCGGAACCTCTGGACCTCCAACCAACAACAGGAGGGTAGCACTGTCGTCAGTATAGCTCGAGATTACATGTGTGAAGTTTCAAAAGAAACTGAAATCAAGCTTGCAAGTGCGAGCGAAACGGTTGCACATTAGGTAGAACCCACGAAGTCAAGAAGTGCCTATCTCTGGGGACATACCACCTTTCGGCGAGTGAATCCAAGTGAGCCCTACTGTCAGTCTCGCAAATACAATAGTGAACAGGTGCTTACAATGAGGGTCGATGACAAAAGTCGGAATGAAGTACAGGAAAAAATGGCTTTTCAAGTGACGTTACGTGAATCTAGAAGGCACAATTGATATTCAAGTCGTGTACAGGACCTCAGTGCGGACTCTTATCTGATGGGCTTGATCTGGTCGAAGAAATGATAGGACACACTCTCATGAAGCTTTTCGTGAAAATTTAACCCTATACTTCTTACCAAACCCTTCAGTTGTGGCGTGTTCTGTGCTGCCACAACTCGCAGCGAGATGCGTACGTGGCTAGAGTAGAGCATTATCCAGAACTGAATGCTAGGCAGGTAGTGATCGTCAGCAATGGTTCTTGTGTTCATAGCATATCTTCTGCGGACGCGATGTCGAACCAACACTCACATACACCGTGTCGGTAGGGTTGTCGATAGCTGTTCCCATGACCCTAATGTCGAGCATCGCAAAGCCAGGTGCTCCAGAGCCTGTGCCCTGGACAACGATATTGATCTCGGTGAGGAACTGGTCGGCGTCCAGGTGCTGGCTTAGGTCGAAGGACTGCCAGTCTGCGGTATCCGCGCTTTCGAATCCCTGTTGTAGAAGAAAAAGAAATGGGACGTTCCGTGTGGTGTTGGGTGACGGAAGGCGTTATTGGCTAGGTCGTCTTCAAAGGGGGTGGGTGTTCTCGTGTTCACAGGATTATCTCTGCCATGTTGATTCATTCTAAGTCAGGTCGAGAAAATGCACCCACCATACGATAAATCGGATTGCGTCTCTCGCTCATCACGATTGTCTTGTGTAACGAGCGCGTAGTCCTTCTTGGCCATCCCATTAACGTTTTGGAGTCGGCGTCGTCGACGACTTTGAGTCACATTCAACGACTGCCCTTTCGCTTTCGAATTCCGAGGAGTTCGGAATCGAATACATCCAACTAATGAGTCAACCAGCATCTTGATGTTGTTGAAATGTTTTCCCAACATGACGTACGTAAGACAGCAACACCACGCAAAGCAGTTTCTCGGTCGTTTGAGCTCACGGTAATCGTTTTCAGAATCTCGCCACGAATCTGGTCGTCGTTGAGCTCCAGGTCGAACTTGTAAGTGTCCCCGACGGGGAACTTGATCTCGACCGCATCCACCATGGCGTACCAAGCGAGCTCGAACTCAACGGTTCGACCGATAGCATCGTCGGAGTCAGTAGTCCAATCGAACGCGTCGGTCGTCGGCCCCTGCGGCGCAGCGGTTGGCGTGAAACGTCAACACCGACACTTCAAAAATGATTGTCATGAACAGGGATTACTTCCGTTTTCCAATGCTTTCTTCGAGAGAGTGCAGTGTGCGTACTGCCAGCAATATCGACAGTAGAAATCAAGGGCACATTCAGCACCACGAAACACGGACGTGTAGGCACATTGCTTCCGGCACTATGATCACCAGGACAGATGGCAAGCCGGGTTTGCATTGGTGGCGGCTGTATTACCGGCGAGCCCTTCAAACGATAGGGCAGAATTACCCAACCTCGAAACTGAAGACGTGATGCAATGCAGGCACCCTCTCGTGTCTGAGAGGGGGCGCCACTGCTCGGATAATCAAGTCATGAGCAGAAAATCGTTGACCACGTCATTCTCCACGAGTTGGCTCTCGTATCGAAGATGTTTCTTTATCACTTGTGGATGCAACTACGCATGAACTTCAATGATAAGAAAGAGTGCGACGCGAAAGTCTCGTTCTATGGATTGATTTGGAACACCCGGACACAGTGCTTGGTCTTCACCCAAACTTACGTCCACGCGGGCGTCCGCCAACGGGGTATTCCACTCCGAAATTTGAATCTCGCCCGCCTGAAGCTCTTCCATGAACTCCACCTGCAATGGCGGGTCCACCACCATTGACCACCCCGAAAGAGAGGAAAACAATACGATTCAAAAAAGGGCAGCTCACGGTGACAATAACGATGCCAGGAGATTGAGATTCGGTAGATCCCAATGGGTATCTGTTGTGTGCGGAGACAGTATCGAGCTGTGGGGGATCAACCGCCAAGACCAACTAGTCGATTTCATCCGCTTCAAATCCGTTGCTGGATTCTACCACAGTGTGTTGGCAACCGCGTTGATAGTCGGAGGTGCTCGTGAATGCTAAGCCGAACCGTTGGCGCATACCTTCTGCGTCGGCAAGGTCGCCTTCGCCGTCTGTACATGCGATAGGGGCAAGGGCTGACATCAGTATGCACCTCCGCCGCCGCCCCCACCACCAACGACATCACGCTAAATCACCCTCTACCAGTCTCAGCAAAGAGTCACCTCAGAAATGCTGATGGTCTGTGAGGCACTGGTAAAAACACCGGAGATGAGTATCTCGTTCGTGAAGACGTCGAAGTCGTATGTCTCGAATTCGTCCGTCGTTCCAGAGCTGGTCACGTAGGCTTCCGCAAAGGCTGCCGCCAGCTAGTTGGACAGTAATAGAGAGATAACATAGAACTCGTCGAGGAGGGCGTTGCTGTCAACTATGCATACGGGAATCGAGCACCAAGATGCCAATCTACGCCGGGCAGGAACCATCCGAAACGGGGGCACAAGGCATAGCGGCAGTAGCAAGACGATGCAGTACAGCTGGGTGGAGGGGGGCTTACTTCATCATCGTACCGGCCCGCGATTCTCATGTCGACCGCCCGCTCGGCGCCATCAGGGAGAGCTGTTCACATTGTTGCGAGGCATTAGCAGAGCATACGGAAAAGGTAGATCGTGGAGCAAACGCCGTCGTGTGAGACAGTGGCAGGAAGGGAACTGGTGAGATTGCCGCGGGCAAAGACGAAGCATGCGCAGCACTTGCGCAAGCAACGTCAACAGTCGGGTAGTCACAGAGACGGAGAGATCACCTGTATGTCCGGCCACGGTTGTATCATCCACATAATCAAGACAGGGAGGGCGGGGTTGGGGCAAACTCATGCAAGGCATGACTCATTGTTTGACCATATTGGTCAAGACAGGAGTGGGGCACAGGAATTCCACAGAAAACAAGACACGACAGGCACAGGCACATGCAACCAGAGCCACGTAGCAAGGATATAATCTTCCTGTCTCGTACGAGTCAACCGCGCAAATAGCCGCAGCAAAACTTGACGCACGATCGATCAATGCACACCACAGAACGCTGCCTGCTGTCGGCGCTGAAGTACATATAACCGTCCACAACGCGCGAGACACTTTGCTTGCTCACCGATCTTGACCTGCTTGATGTGGCGCCAGGAGAAGAGGTCGAATCGAAGGGTGCACTCAGTGCCCCCGACGCATGTCCAAGAGGTCGAGAAGTCCCCGTCCTGGTCGCGGGAAAAAGTTAAAGTCATGGTCGTGGTTACAAGCGGACAACAGGAGCAGGTAGAAGAGTCCACCACGCCAGGGCTGATACAAACATAAATGAGCCAATAGTAATCGACACGAACACACACGGTTCCGAACGTGTGCACGGAACAGACCTTCGAGTGGAACGGAGGAAGGTCCTCTCCGAAGCATCCGGTGCAGTCCGCGAGCGGCAGGAGACCCACCGCCGTAAGCTCTCCGACGGGGGTGATGGGGGCGGGGGCAGGGGTGGACCCCGTGGTGGATGGCGTAGGGGCGGTGTCCGGCCACACATAGATCAGGGTCTGCTCGGCAAGGAGATAGTTGCGGCCACGGAGACGATGGACGATCAACAGGCTGCTGCCAAGAACGTCTGCCATACAGACGAAACCCTTTCGGGTACCGAGATTTCAGTCCACTGGCGTTGGCACGGAGAACTCACAATGGTGGGGTACAGTGAAGGAAGCCGTAGCTTGACTTATCACCCTACAGCACCCTCTAAACACCCAGCGCAACCCGCGCGCGGCCTCAAGACAGATCGTGGCTGGTTTCTACCGTCTGTCGTTTCAATTCGACGTGATGGGAACAGACTGACCTCGATGATGCTGAGCCACTCCGAGTCTCCCAGCACGCCGGTCACCTCTACCACCTGCCCCGACGTCGTGTCGGAGAACAAGATGCTCTCGGCGCCGACCGTGGTGCCCGAGCTCGTCCAGGTGGTCACCAGAACACCGTCCACTCGCACCTCCGCCGTCACCTGCCTCTCGTCGCCCTTGTACATGGCTGATTTGTCGGAGGTCGGGAGGAGGGAGCCTTAAAACTGCACACGCTAGGGGATCGCTTGCATGGATTAACGAGTTCGTGGGTCACGGATCAGGCGGGGCCTGTTCCGCTGATACAGACGCGCCCATGAACGGTTGCGAACGGATAACTGATTACGAAAGAAAACAAATATCCTGCCAAGCACATGGACAGCACCTGATCCGTAACCATAACCGTTGCAGGTGCCTACGCCAAGACCAACTACAAAGGGAAGCAACAAAAAAACGCCAACCGAGATCGCAGTTCCTAATGTAGACAATAGGTGTAATGATGTGGCCCCGTTTCCAATGAACAAGCATGCCGTTCGGGCATATTTTCCGAGAGTCACCAACGTCGTTGCATTTCGGCTGCTTAGGTCTGCGCTTACCTAAGCGGATCTGCGCGAGGTTGTACACCTGCCCGAGGTCGTACGATATAGTGCAGCTGTCGCCATCGCCCCCAAGCTTGGGCGCGCAGGACCAACGGGAGCTCGTCGCGTAGTCTCCATCCTTCACGGTACATTCCACGGTACACACCACGAGCGGGAACACCCGGTGCAACAGTTGGAACAGTCAGTAGGTCCGGTCAACGAATCGGAACACTGTGGTAGAGTGGTGGTCCCTGTACAGGCCCACTGCCTATCGCCAAGGATTTTAGCCAGCTTCGTCCCGGGAACCGGCACTACTCACAGATTGGGACAGCATGAATATTTGAGCTGTGTCACGCAAGTTTACCGGCCTTACAGCGCAACCAGTGTTATTTGTGGGGGCCTATACTGGTCGTCTAAAACACGCTGGACATGGCGGTGCAGATACAATCGGAACCCGCACTGTGGACTGCACGTTCGTCCGCCTCATGAGCTATAATCACACGCTTTCACCGCCCCGGCATGTGACCGATACTGACGTTCCATGTCGCCAAACGCCAAGAAGGAATCCCGAAATACGACTGTTGTTTTGTGTATCTGGTGTACAATCCCTAAAAACCTACACCCTACGCAACCTAACCTAGATCCCACGATATGCTGGAAGAAAAACCCACCCGCGTTAGACCCGCAGTGCACCCTGACGGGTCGCATCCATTGTCAGCGAGGAGGCTGGGGTCGAACAATGTTGCCGTAGTGGTGACGGCACCGATCTCATCGATCTCTTTGGCGGCGAATAGTTGCTCGGGGGAGGGTACTTTAGGAGCCGGGGTCGGAGTAGCGGCGGGAGCGAAGACGGGAGCCGGAGTGGTCGTAGAAGGGCTGGGCGGCGAAACGACGCTGTCCGATAGCACCATGATATCTGTCTGTACGACGGGGGGAGACAGGCAAAGGGAGACCGTCGTAAGGGCTTAGTGTGGGCACGGAAGACGCCTGTAGCTGGGTTGGGACATGCGTTCGTGCAATGCCATAGCGGGACGCCGATACACAAGCGAGAAAACCCGAAACAAGCCCTGAAAAATATCCACGATTTCGACTAAATATTCCCCGTTGAGAAAAGGAAAACATCTCATTCCGCACAAACGCAGAATCACGAACCCTCTCGATTGTGCGGGAAAGTGCAATTGACGTGCCTCTGATGCGCGGGCTACGGCATCAAGCCGCCGCTGTCGCCATGCCATCATTGATCATAGCTAACGCAGACTTCCGGCGCAGCAAACACGCGCACTGACCTCTGTGATGCTGACCCACTCCGAATCGTCCAGGACACCCGTGACGGTGACGTCTTGTCCAGAATATCCCGACAGATCAACGTTCTCGAAGCCGTCCGTTGTGCCCGAGCTGGTCCAGGTGGTGGCGAGGGAACCGTCGACGGTTACGTCGACCGTCCTGACCCTCGTCGTCCCCTTGTACAACGCTGGCAATGTTCCAGAATCGGGTTCGGTACGGCAACCGTGGAGGTGACAATCGTCAGCAACGTGGGTCACAATTTGAATCATTATGTTCGCCGCGCTTGTCGTGCCCATGCCAGTCGGGGCCACAGATGTGTGTGGATGACAGTGGAGCTACAACTCCAAGTATTTACCGTAGAACGTCGAGAGTGATGTTGAAAGTGCCGAGTACTATTGTTCGATATTGAATGCGAACGAACGTCGCCTTACCGAGGCGGAGCTCGGAGAGGTCGTAGACGGCCCCGAGGTCGTAGGAGATGCTGCACGTCCCGCCGAGCGAGGGGGCGCAGGACCACCTGGATCCATCGGAGACGTCCCCATCCTGTAGCGGGGTTGACAATACGACATCTTGGTCAAGTGAGGCTAGTGTTTGGGAGGAAGAGCGAGCAGAATAATCATCTGAGAGGATACCAGTGCGGGAGAGGGCGCTACGTTCTAGACATTCACGTGCATCGATACATGCTTGGTGGTGTGGGGTAAGCTTGGAGACCGTTGACCGGGTTGGTCCGTGGTCTCACGACAATAAAGTCGTCTAAGACTCGTCGACACCAGTAACGTGTACGCACTGCTGCTGTACTAGGTGGCCTACCCTCCTGTCCGGAGGTTGTCTTCTACCTCTTGTATCGAGGGCATGCACTGGGGGCATACGCACATACGCATCGCTTACCCTTGTCAGTTCCGCTGTACATCCCGCGGGATCGCATCCATTGGAGTCGCCGAGACGGGGATCGAACAGGGCAGAGGTGGCCGTGACGATTCCCAGAGAGCCGGCCTCGACCTCCGTCGTACCAGCGACATCATCGGTATCGGTAACACCGTCGTCGACCAGGATCTCCACCTGTTCACAAAAAACAAGAACGAAAAGAACGTCTACATCATTGAACTATGTAGGCGAGGATTTAGGCATGCACGGAAACGCAGAGGTGCTGGCAAGCTACTAGGACAACTCGGACACGCCGTCGGCCTTGTTTGGCATTTACGAAACGCTTGCCGAGGTAGGTGTGTGAGCGTGCAGCATGTATAGATCGGGGAGATACACGAGCTGCTGTGGCAACATGTCAACACACGACCAGTCCATGACCTGCCAACGCCACACCAACGAACCTCCATGATGCTGAGCCACTCGGAGTCCTCGAGAACCCCGACAATATCGATCCATCTCCCCATAGTGTCGACTTCAATGGTTTCGAAGTCGGTGGTTGTGCCCGAGCTGGTCCAGACAGTGTACGGGAGGTTGTCGATGTTAATTTCGAGGGTCCTCGTCCGCTCGTCACCCTTGTACATCGCTGCGAGCAATCATGACACGTCACAGGAAGTTGAGTAACGCAATGTTTTTCACTCGTTGGAAACTCAGGCGGCCGGGGACAGTTTGCAGACATGGATCCGCCTTGTGTGGTCACGTGGTCACAGGGAAACTGCCCCTAAACGGGTACCAAGAACGGTCGGACGTTGCAGTACGTGGCACGAATGAACAAAGGGGATCGCTAAAGAATGAGAAAGGGATCGATGCACGAAGTCCGCGGCACTCGACATACAGGGCCAAGCTACCAAGCCGAACTACTCTGCATGATTTCATACATTCCACGTACGGAATTTACCTACATACCAGCAAACCACACCGCGTCCACGCAGCGAGCAAGTATCGACGCAACAATCGATAGAAGGAGAATCGGCGGTATTCCCGACGATTGTGGAAGGCTCGCTTTCTACTCGAGAAAATTCCTGGCCGAAATATGGTCATGAGGACGCGGCTGCATGGTACTCGTGTATAAGGCTTGCGCAGAACCGTTTCCGTGACAGCTATGATGAGGAAGTTCGCTTTGGGGACGAATGAAAACCCCACACTTATACAACGCGAGTTCTTTCAATGTGCATAACAGGACAGGTGCAATGCATTAAGGAACCTCTGCATTAGGGGACCGTTTCCCAGAAAAAACCAAGGAAAACCTCTGCACCAGGGAACCTCACCGCCCCCATCGTTGGAGGACCGCTGCGTTAGGGGACCTCAACCTAAAGTTGCCAGGGGAACCCCTCACAAATGGGGATACGATTTCGTATTCAACAGCCACCGCGTAAGGGAACTTCTGCATCAGGGAACCTCAACATTGAATTGCCAGGGGAACCCCACACAAATGGGGGATACGATTCATACGATTTCGTATTTAACAGCCACTGCGTCAGGGAAAATATGCATTAGGGATGTGTGTAGTAAGTTGATGCAGCTGTGATTGCTGTATGCAATGATTCTCAGATGCTGTAAATGGGTAACTTTTGGCCACCAGCCCTAAATCCTAGACCCTAACGCGCTGCCAACTCTGGGGTGAGGTTCCCTGACGCAGTGACTGTTGAATACGAAATCGTATCCCCATTTGTGTGGGGTTCCCCTGGCAATTCGAGGTTGAGGTTCCCTGATGCAGAAGTTCCCTTACGCAGTGGCTGTTGAATACGAAATCGTATCCTCATTTGTGTGGGGTTCCCCTTGCAACTTTAGGTTNGTATTCAACAGCCACCGCGTAAGGGAACTTCTGCATCAGGGAACCTCAACATTGAATTGCCAGGGGAACCCCACACAAATGGGGGATACGATTCATACGATTTCGTATTTAACAGCCACTGCGTCAGGGAAAATATGCATTAGGGATGTGTGTAGTAAGTTGATGCAGCTGTGATTGCTGTATGCAATGATTCTCAGATGCTGTAAATGGGTAACTTTTGGCCACCAGCCCTAAATCCTAGACCCTAACGCGCTGCCAACTCTGGGGTGAGGTTCCCTGACGCAGTGACTGTTGAATACGAAATCGTATCCCCATTTGTGTGGGGTTCCCCTTGCAACTTTAGGTTGAGGTCCCCTAACGCAGCGGTTCGCCAACGATGGGGGCGGTGAGGTTCCCTGGTGCAGATGTTCCCCTTGCTTTTTTCTGGGAAACGGTCCCTAATACAGAGGTTCCCTAATGCACTGCACAGGGCCACGACTACCGCTAATTCAGCAAGCAGAACTATGATAATTGAGTATACACAAGAGTAGACGAGATCTATCTGCACACTATACATACCGATGTTCAAACCGGTCAGCTGGTACTGGATGCCCAGGCCGTACGTGATCCTACACACTGAGCCGGCATCGCCAAGGGCAGGCTTGCAGGACCAGCGGGATTCAACAGATGTCGCGTCGCCATCCTGTGCGGTAGTAGAAGCCGGTGAACGGATTCGGCGGTGGTCTCAGACTTGTACACCGACATGTAAGGGTTTCTCCACTGTAGTTTGATTGCCGTTCGCCGTTGCGGGGATGTCGATTTCGCCTTCTGGTTTGGTCTGAAAACACCATTGTTGTGTCAAAAGGCAGAAGCCGGCACAGTGTGTGTGAATGTGTCTCATTTTGCTGTTTCTCCCCGGGGTGTATCACCCACCGGGGTAAATTCACGAAAAAATAAAAGATGAAAGCTTCCCACACTTTCTTTTTTTGACGCCCAGGGAAGCACACTGAGGAACATAGTCTAATCCCTTTTCCGGATGTGTACTGTAGGTCACGGTATGTATGTGCGGAAAAGGCAGCATCGGGACACAGAGGGACGGCAAGTCCACCTGGAATGATGTCTGTAGACTATGCCAAAAACCTGCATTTACCATTCACTGCTAACCCTAAAGCCCTGGCAGACTGCAGAGCCTGGACTACTGCTGCATGTCTCGCAAATCTCAAACGTAGTGCTGCTTCTGTGTGTTGTGTCTTCCGACAGCAGAGTAGATGTACCGGGTATGCATCGTCTACAGCAGCAGCGGATTTCGACTTTCATCGTCGTACACAGCGGACAGACCAAGACAAAGCAAGGCGTTCTGTGATCCAATTATCGCTCAGGCTTTGGCGCGAAGGCTCTACAAGGCTGTTGTAGCGCAAACAAGATCATCAAGCAATCCCTATGTGAGAGTCTATGTAGATAACACTAGACTCCAGTACATGCGGCATCTAACTCTGCTGAACAACACATGGGTTATGAATGGCAAGATCCTTGACAGCGGGTAAAATTTTAGTCTGCGCATTGGTTTTGGGACAAAAGTACAACTGTATATGGAGATGGCATTCTTTGTAAGCAACACCAATCTACGGCTTCATGTCTACCTTGCATGTATATAGACTACATGAAGTATATATATATCCTGCTACTTCGCTGCCGCACGGCATGGTGTTTCCGAAACTACAAATACTGTACTGGGCTCACTCTGGTATTGTCGCCAATGCAGCCGGTAGGGCTACAACCACCATCACTAGCAGTGACTGTAGTGTCGTACAGTGGTGCTGCGACGGTCACGGTGGCTAGCGTACTGGCTTCTACAACGGCCGCCAGGGCTGAAGACGACGGCCCAGCGCCCGCGGCCAAGAGACCGGCTTGAACGAGAGCCCCTCTCATGGTGCCTGCTGTGTGTAGCTGGTTCAACCGGAGCAGCTGGTGAGGTTTACGTCTGGAATTGTCAAAGGGTTGTACCCGTGATGTGTTTGCAACAGTGACGATGGTGTGTACGAGCGACAACGCGTGTGTGGGAAAATGAGTAAGAGGAATGTTGCAGCGGGGGGACGAGAGGGGTTGAGGATGGAGAGCGAATAGCAAACCAGCGGCAAGACTTTCGGGAAAAATCGTGAATTATTTGCACAAGCTGGAGTAATTGAAGCCCTTCGATACCCCGTCCAACACACGCCTTCGAAGGAGTCATTAATAGATGGCCAAAATAGATCCACCCACGGAGCTCATCTATGTGATGATAGGTCTCCAGAGACTGGCTTGAACGAGAGCCCCTCTCATGGTGCCTGCTGTGTGTAGCTGGTTCAACCGGAGCAGCTATTGAGGTTTTCGCCTGGAATTGTCAAGGGTTGTGATGTGTTTGCAGCAGTGACGATGATGTGTACGAGCGACAACCTGTGTGTGAGAAAATGAGTTTTGTAGAGAGGAACATTGAAGCGGGGGGACGAGACGGTTTGGGGATGGGGAGCGAGGGGCAAACCAGCGGCAAGACTCTCGGGAAAAATCGTGAACTATTTGCACACGCTGGAGTAATTGATGCCCTCTGATACCCCGCCCAGCACACGCCTTCGAAGGAGTCATCAATAGATGGCCAAACTGGATCCACCCACGGAGCTCATCTATGTGATGATAGGTCTCTAGTCAGAGGACCTTATGTACTTGTTTCTAGAGCCGAACCGACGTGTGTCTGAAAGTTTTTTGGAAGGACAAAATAAACTATCTATTATTATTGAATTAGCCGCTGTATTTGACTACATTGTCTACATCGTTTTTGTTTCAAATAAAAACCGTCGCGGCGCTTCGAAATAGACTGTCCTGTGGTGCATCGTTCCTTCAAAAGGAACCGATCCAAAGGAACCGATCCACATTCCATGGGAAGCACACACACATGGCAGGCTAATCAAATCACCGTCTCATCACCGTGGCCAACAAAATATAACCCGATCATTAAAAAATGTTGCGGTTCAGATATTTCTACGGAATTTCTTTATGAACTTGAGGTATGCCAACGTCGAAATTGTCTGCACACAAGGATGAATTAGCCCGCAACGCCGCGCTCGAGAAAATACCCCGTTGGAACCGAAACGAGTGTGGATCTCGCTCCTTCTCTCTATCGCACGAACGCTTTCTCACACGTCCTCCATACCAATCTCTAGGCCTCCCTCCCTCCGAGATAGGGCTACCCCCGCCTATACGTTGCACATCGAAGAGGCCGACTGACGGCAGCAGCAGCAGAAGCCGAATTAGCCGACAATGAGGGCCCGACAGGCTGCCCTTCTGTGGGCTGGCTCTACCAGCCTCTTGAGGTTCGCGGACGCAGCCATAGTCGAAGCTTCCACCTTGGCAACCGTCACCGCGGTGGCAGACCTGTACGATCCAAGGCTCAGCGCTGACAACGGATGCGATCCGTCAGGGTGTGTCGCTGAGCTAACCAGAGTGAGTGGAATCTGTCCTGCGACGGACGACTGTCGACATCATGATGTGTCCTGCTGTTCGTAGTTGGAAGACCGCGGGGAAACTTCACTTCTTCTGTGGGTGTTAGGTTGTCTCGGACCTCGCACACGAACGGCACCCAGGCGCACTGCCGCATATATATGCATGTATGTGGCCCATGTGGCTGGTATCTGGTTGAAGAGAGGTTCCTCTTTGACCGCGTTTGCCTGACTACGTGCTGCTGATTGATTTGGCATTTTGCTCATCGGGTAAATTTGATTACAACGGGAGGCAGCTGGTGCTGCTGCTGCTCACCGAACACAAATCTACAGCGCAGTTGATGTTGGTTCGACAGCCGGAGAATCAGTCGCTGAAATTTCGTTGCCGTAGCATATCTGGCCGCACGCCGTCTTGCCCAAACTCGCATGTATCCGAAGCGAGAAAGGACACTTTATTCCAGGGTTGAATGAGTTCCTTGTAGTCAGGAAATTATGGTCGCGGAGCCTTCATTGTCAAACACAAGCATATTGAACAACAGGGATGCCCGTCTTGCCAACGTCATTATAGACTAACGCAATCCAACGATGATTTTCCGCAGGTTCCTTGGATTAAGCCACCGTTGCCCGGGGTCAACCATCTCGCTCATTCATTTGCAGCGGTTCGCGAATATTGTACAAGCAGTACCATGGTATTCACGTAAACAGACAGGGTAATGAAACTCGCCCCCCGATGCCTGAAAAAGTGGCGTTTTGGTGCAATGGCTACCTACCCTTGTGAAAATGCTTTGACGTATATCGTTGGTCCCGACAACCAACAGTGCAAGCCGCCATGCATACAAAAAATATAATTCTATACAATAGTAGTACATATATATGGCAAAGGTTTGAGGAGGTCGAAAACTAGACACTGTTAGGGTTTTCTCTTCGTCTGCAGGTATTCAGGGGCATTATGCGCGCGCTATCCAGCAGGGGAGGCCCGCGAAATCACCGGTGTCTGGTGCCTGAAAAGCGTGCCCACCAACGGGGTCTACAATAAAATTCCAACATTGAACTGCCCACTTGTAACCGGTTGTCCCCGGGTCATGTACATGCTTGCAGAATATTACCCATCACTTTCCCCCCACCATTTGGGTGTGCACAAATGTTTTGTGTTCGCTATGTCGTCGATCTGTCGATGCCCGAACCCCAGGATGGCGACGCGACATCTCTTGAATCCCGATGGTCCTGCCAGCCTGCCCTGGGCGACGCCGGCTCTGTGTGTAGGATCACGTACGGCCTCGGCATCCAGTACCAGCTGACCGGCTTGAACATCGGTACGTTTGTGTGTGGTTACGGTCTGTTTTGCCAGAAAACGTTTGGTAGAATCATGCAGAATTTATCGTCTTAGCTGCTGCAATGTAGTTTGGTTTTTTTCGTATTGTGTGCTAGCGATGGGCTTTGGGTATCGATCCCCTATCATCCAACCTCCTCTGTTCATTTGTATCAGCTGCTTCAAAGTCTGACTGTGTGTGGTACCTTTCAGGGTGCAGTTATCCTGTGACCATATCCTGTGACCTCGTTGACCACGCAAAGGCAGATCTATGCCCACAACGACTAAAACACGTGGCGTTAACTAACGTTAATTCCTGCGTACGATTGCTCGCAGCGATGTTCAAGGGTGACGAGCGGACGAGGACCCTCGAAATCAACATCGACAACCTCCCGTACACTGTCTGGACCAGCTCGGGCACGACCGCAGGCTTTGAAACCATTGAAGTCGACACTACGGGGCGATGGATCGAGATTGTCGGGGTTCTCGAGGACTCCGAGTGGCTCAGCATCATGGAGGTTCGTTGGTGTGGCGTTGGCAGGTCATGGACTGGTCGTGTGTTGAAATGTTGCCACAGCAGCTCGTGTATCTCCCCGATCTATACATGCTGCACGCTCACACACCTGCCTCGGCAAGCGTTTCGTAAATGCCGCACAATGCCAACGGCGAGTCCGAGTTGTTCCAGCGGCTTGCCAGCACCTTTGGGTTTCTATGAGAATCACCGCCAACACATTTTTAACAAGTCATATGCTACTTGGTACTTCTTTTCGTTCTTTTTTGTCGTTGAACAGGTGGAGATTCTGGTCGACGACGGTGTTACCGATACCGATGATGTTGTTGATACCACGGAGGTCGAGGCCGGCTCCCTGGGAATCGTCACGGCCACCTCTGCCCTGTTCGATCCCCGCCTCGGTGACTCGAATGGATGCGATCCCGCGGGATGCACAGCAGAACTAACAAGGGTAAGCGATGCGAATACCCCCAGTGCGTATCCTCAATCTTGCGAAACGGCTTTTCCGCTTAGACCAACGGTCAACCCGTCCAACGGTCTCCAAGCGTCTCCCACAACACAAAGCTTGTGTCGATGCACATGAAGAATGTCGAGAACGGAGTGCTCTATCTACCTCTCCATTGTGCCTCTCAGATGATTGTTCTGCTTGCTCTTCCTCCCAAACACTAGCCTCGCTTGACCAAGATGTCGTATTGTCAACCCCGCTACAGGATGGGGACGTCTCCGACGAATCCAGGTGGTCCTGCGCCCCCTCGCTCGGCGGAACGTGCAGCATCTCCTACGACCTCGGGGCCGTCTACGACCTGTCCAAGCTCCGCCTCGGTAAGGCCATGTTTGTTCACGCTCACCATGAACCACATCGAACTTCAGTAGTTCGCGCTCTTTATATCACTCTCAATCCTATGCGGTAAATACTGTGCTTACTGCTGTAGCTCCGACACGCAATCGTGGCACCGACTCGTCTCGGCACGACAAACAAGGCTTACCTTATCACCCAGTATGTGACCCAAGTTCCTGACGATCATCGCCTCCACCGCCGCGATACCTTACCCGATTCTTCCCACACATCGTCAGCGTTGTACAATGGAGCGACCAGGGTCAGGACGGTTGATGTAAGCGTCGATGGTTCCCTTGCCACCACCTGGACCAGCTCGGGCACAACGGACGGCTTCGAGAACATTGATCTATCGGGATATTCTGGACAAGACATAACCGTCACGGGTGTCCTAGACAATTTGGAGTGGCTCAGCATCAAGGAGGTCAGCATGCACGTTTGCTGTGCCCAAGTCTGCCTAAGCTGTGACCGGTGATGGCGCGGCTGCGGGGACTTGACGCAGTACTTGAAGCAGGCGTGTCCGGATCACTTACTGTGATTTTTTTGTGTTGTCGAGCATGTTTCACTTGCAGCCCTTTGCCCACATGCTGAGCGTCGCGGTAAACAGGCTGTCCCAGGTTGATTTCCATGGCTTTGTCCCAAATGCAGCCTTCCCCGTGGTTCGAACGGCGCCTTCGCGCCGCAGAACACCTCCACCAACACGTGCGTGTCTATCTCCCTCAATTAACACACGCCTGTCCTTTTATACCTCGTGATTCCGAGCAGACAGAAATCATGGTGCTATCGGACGGCGTCGTTTTCCCGCCCAGCGCTTCTTCGCCCACTCCTGCTCCCGTCTTTGCTCCAGTTGCCACTCCGACCCCGACGGTCGCCACCCCAGAGCAACTCTATTCTGCCAAGGAAATCGGGACCCAGGACACTACTGTCACCACCACGGCGGACTTGTTCGACCCCGACCTCGCCGTGGACAACGGCTGCGACCCGGCCGGATGCACAGGGGCGCTCACAAGGGTGATCGATAAACTCCGCACCTTGTAGCTCGTTCCATCTCCTCAATTCAGCGGGGGGGATTGTCTAGGGGTGCTTGGTTTTGTCTGCTTCGGGCGGGGGTCCTCTTGAATGCGTCTTCGACAAAAAATGTTTGGACACAAGGATGTTCGTGCTTTCTTCGCAAAAAATGGCGTTTGTCCAGAGGTACTGGAGTTCAACATCCCCCTCTCTGCGTTGCTGCTGTACGTCGTTTCTCCCTACCGGTGAAAGGATGGTGATATGACGGATACCTCACGCTGGGCTTGCGCACCCAGCCTTGGCGGCGTCTGCTTCATCTCGTACGACCTCGGGAGAGAGTTTGGCCTCGATGAGGTCCGAGTCGGTGAGAGGAGAAAGCAAACATTCTTGTCGTGTTAGATTCCCGACACAAGCGCTGACCCCTTTTCCGACTCGGCACCGCCTTGAACTACATGGTATGCATGATAGCATCCGGAATGGTCTGAAGATCGCCGTCGTCGCTGCTAGCTGATGGCGTGTCCGAGGTGTTTCTTCTTTGAACGGCGGTAGGTCTCACCTTCGTTAGTTTATCCACGCTCTCGGTGGGACGTGCTCGCGTGTGGTTCATCATTTTCCCCTCTGTTCTTGCCTCTTTCCTCTGCGCTGGGCGTTGGCTGACCTCGCCTACAAATCAGTACCACGAGGCTGAAATGGCTTGTTTTGAATAGCTCGCCCTTCGCCCACCACACGAGATCTGGGAAAATGTAGCCTACCGGTCTCCCTTCCCGCAGCGTGTCTAGATCCTCGACGACACGCGAGAAAACAGTTTAAGGTTTTGCCAAACACTACAACATGTGCCTCGCTTTGCTCCCCGCTGCCCCCAGCGCTGTACAACGGCGACATCCGGGTCAGGACGATCAATGTATTCGTCGATGGTGCGCTGGTGACCACCTGGACCAGCTCCGGCACGACGAACGGCTTCGAGAGCATCGCGCTCCCAGACACGGCTTCCGGGACGGTGGTCGAGCTCCAAGGCGTCTTGGACGACTCGGAGTGGCTCAGCATCATCGAGGTTGGTTTCTGCCGCTCGAACCAAACATACACACATGGTACTTGTGTAGCTTTGTGCTGAGCGCCAAGGACGTGTACCTCATTTCGAAGCAAGACCACCAACCAGCACAAACAGATGCGTACGTCTCGAGACTATAGCCCACCCTGAAACAACAAATGGGCACTTGCTTGAGTGACCAACATCAATCAGCAACTCTCACGCCTAACCTATCTCGCCGCCGTCCGTGTGTCCCGCTTACCTACTTGCTTGTCACCGAACAGACGGAGATCATGGTGTGGCCACAGAATGTCGTCACGCCGCCGCCCGCCCCAGCGGCGACCGTTCCTCCCGCTACCGCTCCGGTCCAACCGGTGACGCCGCCCAGCCCTTTGCCTGCGGCCGACCTGCAACCCGTCGGCCTGACGCCCCTAGCTATCGGGAATGAGTCGCCGCTTGACCGATACGCAACCAAGGTACGTCTGCAGAAGCGAGCACGTCCGCCCGCTGAGCATGGGTACTGTAAACCATATTATATGTTGAGAAGGGATTTTCCGTCGCTGCTGCCATGCGTAGGACGCGTCTGCCCTAGTCTCGTGATGATGGCGACTTGTCGCGAAGCTCGCTATGGTGGATGCTTCCGCCCTATGTTGGACATTTGATTGAGATGTTAAAGACCATTGGAAATGTCGTGGTTGGATTGCCTGTCGAGACCCAACCATTGTCGTGGCACCGAAAGCGCTCCTCTCCAAAGGAGAATGACAAACTGCACGCGAATTGTGCTGTGTCGCCGTTCCCTTGTCTGCTATTTCCCTTGGCCAGGACGGGGACTTCACCACCTCCTGGACGTGTACCGGTGACCCAACAGAGCCGAACGACGAAGGCATCACGTATTACCAGTGCGAGCTCTTCTTCGGCCTGGTGTACTATCGCCACGTCAAGCAGGTCAAAGTCGGTGAGAATTTGACTTGTCTGGCGCATCTCGGATACGTCGGGTTTCTGAGCACCCAGTCGGTTGTCAGTTGACCTGCCGACGGTGAATTCACACAACCGATGCTGTCAATTGCCCACCTCGCGCTTCAAAGCGTGCTAAGCTGCAAGCGGATCTCCGCGCAACCAACCCTGCCGAAATGAACCTCCCTTTCCTGCCGTCGTCGCTACCCTCTACTTCGTATGTAACGAAAAAATATTTCGCCAAGAAACAGAGGCTCCAAGTTTTCTAGTCGTACGACACTTGGCGCAAGGGTGGGTCCTACACTAAACTCTACTTCGAAGTGAATAACAGCCTGTGCTCGACGGTGGCGACGAAGTGAGAAGTCGAACCCGATTTTGACATTTTTTTGTCCGTGCCCGTTCTGTACGCTGTGTCGGTCTTCTTCGTCCGCTTGCCAAGCTCTCGCCGACGGCGCCGAACGTTCGGTGGACATGAGGCTGGCTGGCCGTTTCTCAAGCTCGGTGAGGCAACTCCGGGTGTCGTTTTGTGTGGGGGTTGTTATCTTGTGTCGTATGAGACAGCCAACCCGTTGGGCTGGCCCATACCGGCTTGCCGGGGTCCTGGAATCCGCTGCTTCCCCTTCCCCTTGGCGCTGACTGTGGCGTTGTACATATCTGCTGGCCCTTGAAACAGATCGCTGAGGAGTTCGTGACGAGCTCGGGTACGACCAACGGCTTCGAGACGTACGACTTCGACTACAAAGCCAGCTATATCAGGATTGCCGCGGTCTTCTCCTCGCCTGGAGAGTCCATTTCCATCTCGGAGGTCAGGGGACCCCACAGAGGATACTCACTTGTGTGCCGAGACGTTCACTGTTCTCCCTCCTCTGCCGTTTCGTTGGCATGTTTTTTTTTCGTGCTTCTCTCCTCGTTACGTTTAATATTTACCGCTTTGATTGGAGCGCATCACAGTAGCCATGTTCATCTAGGATGTATTGATTGGGGAGGTTCCGGGAAGCCTCGTTGCTGACTGTTTAGGATCGTTGTTTTCCAGAGCCTCCGACTTGCCACGTAAGTACGCCTCTGAATGGTGTTCGGTCGAGAGTACGCGATAGTGGACGAATCGATCGACCCTTGGCCAAACAACTACTACGGCGGTGCCCCCATCTCACTCGGTCCGATACCATTATCCTATTCTCGTCAGGTGGAGATCATGGAAGAGGTGGTGGAAGGCGAAGCCCCCATCGATATCTTCAGCACCCCATACGATAACGGAGACGGCCTTTGGAACGTGAGCGCTCTGATGCCCTCGTCCATAAATTCGCCGTCACGTTCTTCACTGGTTGATCAATAGGAAGGCTGCAGCGGATCACAACCCTGGGGCTGATGGGAGAAAACAGTTGTCGTCTTGGTGAAATAGTTACAAGAAGTGTGCGTGGTGTGGAACAATCAATAGGGATACTTCATCCCGATCATCGATATCATACCTGTGCCTTTCCGAGCTCAACGAGCTCGTAGGCATCCGCGTTGTTGTGACGAACCGCCGATGAACAGCATCTACGCAGAACGATGGCGAATTTCTTCGACAGAGCTACTAGCCCTTCAAAGAACCTCTTCCGGCTTCATATCGACGTTTTTGCACAGGAACCGACGACTGACGGGTTCGAGTGGAGCTCCAACTCCAACGAGGCCATCGACCAAAGCTTGACCTTGTCCCTCGCTGGATACCACACGGTGACGGAACTCCAGCTCATGTTCCCAGAGGGCGACACATACAAGTTTGACGTTACGCTTTTCAACAACCTGGACGGCACGGGCGAGGCGTACACGACCATCACAGTGAGAGGGGCAGCAGATTGAGTACAGACATTGGCATTTTGGTTCGGTTCGCTGGGCTCGTCAAGTCTAAACACGTCGGCAGTGTGGGCTGTTCTAGCTCTCTTCGTTCATCTTGCATCACCCCCCTTCGGCAGATGCTGCAGAACGTCACCCAACTCCGTCCGCGACACTCGTGTAGGACCTTACTTTGGTTGCTTCCATGTCAGGCTGGAAACCGCGGAGAAATTGCTCTCCCGTTCGATGCTTGTATTGGTCGTTCCATCAAATGCGTTAGTGCCCGTAAAGAATGTAGGCAGGCGTGTTCGCAGCCCTTCGCCTTCGGAGGACCCCGAGTTCCGGTATGAAACTGTCGCGACTGACTGGCACGGGTCTTCCACAAGAGTTGACCTCCACTTTTCACTCACTACGAATGGCTACAGGGTTTGGAAAGCACTGATATCGCTGGGTTTCAGTCCTTCGACCTGACGGGCTTCGCCAACCAGTACGTCACCTCCATTGGAATCGAAATGAAGGGGACCGGCTCGGGAGCGCCCGGGTTCGCGATGCTTGACGCGCTGGTACTCGGCACCAAGATCGACAACCCCTCCGACACGTTCCACGTGAGTAGGGTGCAACAATCAGAGGACAGCCAGAGATGACGGGAGAGAAAGAGAGATGGAGAGAGAGAGATAGTGGAGAGAAAGATAGCAAGACGAGGTGTCGAGATGTATCATGCGCTTGCTTTGAAGGCAGCACGGGCCACCTGATCTTGCCAATTTTTGGCCCCCGTTGAAAAGCTCTGACCCGACAAATTCACCGACTGACAAACGTCTCTCTTGGTTCCGGCGACCGGTCCCCTTCCCCATCGGAACATGTCGTTTTGGATGCGTTCACAGGTCGGGTCTACTTTCATCGAGTACTGGGGTGGAGACGGATACCCGGACTTCGTGGGGTCGGGCTCGGGAGACCAAAACGCCATCAACGGTGCCATTTGTGGGGTGAAGAAGGGTACTTACGACGGCGTGAACTGCGTCGATGTGGATGACACTGCTACGGGCACGGTGAGACCTCTCGGGCTACGGCTGTTCTTCGGACTTCGGAAATGCTAAAATGTATGTAGCGTATTACAATGTGTCTGGGTCAAGTCGTCATCGCGCGCGACTATTTCCTGAATCGTACTAACACGCTGTCTTCTAGTGTGTTGTTGTCGGCGCTCTGTGGTTTCCCACGGTGTCCCCCGGAGCCCCTTTGGTTACCTGCGCCTTTTTGATGACGCCGCCCCTACACGAATATATCCATCATCCACCGGAGGACATGCTTCAACCCGTCGCCTATTCGCCCTCACACGATACCCCCAAGCGGTGTTATCTGAAGGACGAATTGTCAGTCCAATTGTGCCCGTACGCCGTACGTGTGTATCGGAAATGTTCGCGATCCTGCCACTCCTCGCAGGTGGACCTGTCCTGGGGTGCGTACTACGTAAACGGCAACATATTCATGCAGTCTGGCGTACTCCTCCTCGGCTCGTGAGTACCCGACTTGTTGTTTGGCGGTTTGTTGTGTCCGATGATTGTTCATATTCCTGTGCCTAATAGTGTCTTGAGCGAGCCACTACAAGTAGTCCTCAGAGCGCCTGTAGACCTATCAATGCAATCTATGTGAAACTGCTACCAGTAAAAGCACAGCAGCATGCAAAGTGTCTGCACCTGTTCCCGGTCGGCTAAGCGTTGTCCGATCGGTCTTGTCTCGGTCGCGGGAATGCCCGCTGCTGCGGGACGTTGGCACATGTGTCGCTTCGTGCCTAGTGGCAGGGAAACAACTGTGGCTGTGTGCTTGCGGTTCCGCCTTCCACATCAATCCGTGTAATCCATCATTTCTGCTGCAAGGCTCTCGGGATACTTCTCATGGTTTCCTGTTGGTTTTCTTCTTCCCCTCGCGTACGCACGCGTGGTGCATTGGAAACGTGTTCCTTTAACATTGCGTGTGGTGTCACCCTACGCTTGTTTCCCTACCAGGTTCGGTGATGACGATCCACACACGACCGACATCGTACTGGAGGAAGGAGCTGAGGGAAACACTGACATCGACGCCATCGTCGTCATGGATGGCATTCGGGATGCCTGGGTAAGCTGAAGCTTAACTGGGGAAGTGGGTGCTTGACAGAGAGTACATACACGAGTGAGGAGAACGCATGAGTCTTGTAGGCTACACACGACTCGAACGTTGTGTGTGTGAGTGCAGAGAAGAATGTACGGGGGAGAGTCGAAGAGTGTTAGGCTCGAAGGATTCTGTTGTGTTAGATTTCAGTCGTGACTTGGGATTCCCAAAACTCTCCGATGGATTCGTTTAATTTTTGGCGGTCATTGCACCTTGTCTTGCGACCCATGTTGTCTATTTTTGTTTTGCCGTTTGAGGGTACAGAGTGCTTCACCCAAGAGCCTGTACTATGTTGTGCGTATCTGACTGTCGTTCGGGAGGAAGGTCACACCCAGGCCTTCGTAATGTGCATGGCGAAAACGAAACAACGCGACAAGGAGTTCAACACATTGCACGTAAGTAACCAGAAGGGTGTGTTGTGCTCGTATAACATGTTGCAGATCGAAAAAGTGTGGATCCAGGGGAATTACGACCCCGAGACCGACGGCATTTCCGCCGTATCTGGCCTTGGATCGGCCTGCCTCTCGGTTGTGAACTCCCAGGTGAGGCGATATGAAATACCGACGATAATTGATCGGATTTCCTCGTACATACCGGGTGTACAATGCCTGTGATCGCTATGACATATGCGAAATGGGTGGCTTTGAGGTGCCATGCTCCTGAAGCGGCAGTTGAGTGTACGGTGCGCATCCGTGCGGCGATTTTTCAAAGTTGGTGTTGCCAGGTTTGGTGATGGCTGTATATGGTGCAGTTTTTTTTGCTTCCCTGCACACGAATACCCTGCCCAAGCTAAGGCTGTCTCCCGATCCCTCCGTTTCTCCTCTTCACCGCTCCACGCTGAACATTTGTAATTGGGATCATTTTGATCATTTTGACCGTTTAACAAAACAGAACATCACTTGTGAGGGCGTCGACATTCGGTACTGCAGCGGTGACGCCCTGGTCGTGCGCGACTCTACCCTCGTCAACATCGACGCCGGCAGATACGATGAGTGAGTTTGCTACAACGGCGTCTATACACCTTATCGCTTGAGGTGTTGGCGCTGCTGATGCCTTTTTCTGTTCTTTTCGCTCGATCTAATCTTAAACCTAACTGCCGATTGTTAAGGGCTCAGATCTTCCATGTCGAGGCGTTGGTGGTTGTCATCGCTGACCGCGTCAAGCGTGCATGGCAATACATGTGCTCATCGAATTTATTCGTCTTCCCGTGGTTTTCGTGCGATGTTCTGACGCGATGTCGTGCTTATCCTCGTGCATCAGAGAATACCTCCCGTGGACTATCGGCCTAAGCGGAGGCACTGGTCTGATAGTAGACACGTCGGATTCGATCTGGGTTCGTCGTACCACGGTGAGTTGCGACAAGCCCCTTTATGGAACTGGCCGCGGGTGATGGGGCAACATTGATAGCTAGGAGAGCACCGAAATGCTCTGCTTTTCACTTCAACGATTGACTTTGGCAAGGGGTTTGTATTGGCCCATCCTTCTTGCATGGTATTGGTATTGCCAACACATGATGCACTACCTGAGCTATGCCTACAATGTCCGGCAGACCACGATTCCGTAGAGTGTCGCGGAGACGCTTAAGGTAGTTCGTGCGCCGGTGAATCGGGTGGTAATACCACTGCAGCACGGTAGATTGGAACTCGCCGCCAGTAGTACTGCCCCACTCCGCTGACATTTTCGTCAACCGTTCGTGCGCTTGGGTCGGCCGCGATGCGATTCCGTGCAGTTTTACGAGAACGCCGTGGCGGGTCTCCACATCATGGGCTCCAACAACTTTACCTTCGAAGCAACCATCGCCAGCGAGGAGGGCTCCGAGGGCGAAGGGAACGTTGGCAGCGTTGACGGCCAACAGCCCATCGAAGTAATCGTCGGAACCTCCAGCCTTGTTACGTTCCAAGACATGAAGGTCCAGTCTGTCAACGGTGAGCGGGACTCTACTTTATGTGTATGGTGGCTGTGGGTGATGGGTTGATGGCGTCCTCGCAGTCTCGTGAACCATCTCCCGCGGAAGAGAGTATGACGTAGGCCAAGGCCGTGTGCGCCTCGGTCGATGCTGGAATGTCGTGAGTGTGTTGTTGCTGAAGATTTGACGACGGTGATTTCGTCCCGAAGCGTGAAGCACCCTCGCCATGCCGCCTTGCTCAAACCCCCTTGTGTTGATGGGAATATTGCCTGTGCCTGAATCACACGGCTGATTTCGCATGTGCAGCCTACCTAAACCTTGCTGTTTTGCCTTTCTCGCATCGTTTCCCGTGCGCAGATCCGGTGATGACAATCACCGATAGCACGACGGTTTCCTTCACCAATGGCGGCTACTCCAATGTCCCATCCGGCACGTGCACCATTCAGGTGTGTCTGGATATTTGACCCGTAGCCATTGACTATTCAGCAACGTCGAAAACTGTGTACCCGATGCTCGGACATGAACGTCGTTGACACGAATCCTTGGTCCACGGTGTGCCGATATCCGGTAGGAATTGTGTGTGAGACTCCAGCGAGGGTGTCGAGAGGACTGCGTTCTCTCCCGATCTGTTTTGTCTCCTTGCGTTGTTTACCCATACCTCACGCACCAGGTACGGGCCCCTTCATTTTCCAAGTCACCCACACACAATAGACCAGAACCCCGCAGAACATATCTACGTAGATCGAGTGCACCAAACATTCCCCCCTACATGGCCGAGACATGATGCCATTTTTGGTCATGGCAATTGCGGGTCAAGCGATCGATACATACGCTGTACCTTTCATGCTGTCCTCCTCCAACACGGGCCAAATATCTTCCGTTATGCTACAGTACCCTGTATGTCCCAGAACTCAAACAATGCACCCTCTCAAAAACTACACCGAGTCCTCGGCGAATCTTTCAGACAACACCTAAATTAACACATTGGCATTGCTGCCATGCTTTTGTACCGCGAATGCGTCTTTGTGCTGTGGATTGATGTCCGTGGTTGTTCTTATACCGTTTGGTCTAGTCTGCCTCTTTTTTTTTTTTCCGGTAAAAAGAAATAAGGGAGGAGAGAGTGCGGGGAGAGAGATAGATGTGCAGCAGAAAGACATGAGTGTACTTCCGTCGACGCAACAGCTATCTCCATCCAATAGGCTATGAGGGCTGCCCGCGACAGGACGGTGGGCACAGACAGGGTTGACGCGTGGTCGCGGTGCGGCCGGTGGGTCAGGTCAGGCTTGTAAACCTCAGAAAGATCAGTCGCCAATCCGCCTAAACTACTCTTTATTCAGTATATTCAAATGATCCATGAAAATTATCAGTGAGAGGACTTGTAGACCCATCGCTGGTTCTTGTACTTCTGTACTTCTCTGTCCCCTCCCCGATGTGAGCCCTGCCGGCTCACTACAGCTCGTGTTTTCCACAATTCCCACGAGCATGAAGCACACCAGCACCCACCTACCTTTGCATCAGTGGCTCTCTAGGTTCGGGCGAAGGTACGTGTGGGGCGATGATGATAATGTATGTGTTACTACGGTAGTGCTGTATGTTGGACTCGTCTATACTGATACTGCTGTGTAGTGTAGTTGCTGACATGATGACTGCTGGATCTTGTACGAATTTCAAATTTGGAGGAATTGCAGCATACCACGATATCCTGACCTAGATGGGCTTGAAGTGCCCCTTTTCGCTGTCCTCCTGTCTTCGTTGTAGTGGCTTCCTATATTCGGCGAGGGCATGTATGTGGAGCTATTGATGTGTGTCGCTGTGAAAGGATATGGGGAGAGGTTCATGGTGGCATTCGCAATTAGAGCAGTATGCATTTTTTCAGATTTGGCCGTTCCAGGGACCTTGATATTACCCGCTGGCACGAACGTCTTTTCATTGGTGACCGGGTAGGGCGGTCGATGCGAATAACAAAGACACACCTACCTATTGACTTGCCCACACCTGGCGTGGAGGAATGCAGGGCGGCCACGCCATGGCATGCCACAACACCAGCATTTGCAAATGATCAATCAATGATCTGCCAGGACGCCTGTAGACCCAAAAGGGTCAAAACCATGTATTTGACTCCCCATTAGCCACCCTCTACCAGAGGACTTGTTGAAGTACGTCGATTTTGTTCGATATTTTTCGGGTTCCCAGCCAGCCTAAACGCCGCCTCCGGTGTTTGCCATCGGGGTTGGGTTTTCGTCGCTTGGCAACGACGTTGTAAAACAAGCCGCCCCCCCCGGTGTTTGCCATCGGGGTTGGGTTTTCGTCGCTTGGCAACGACGTTGTAAAACAAGCCGCCCCCCCCGGTGTTTGCCATCGGGGTTGGGTTTTCGTCGCTTGGCAACGACGTTGTAAAACAAGCCGCCCCCCCCGGTGTTTGCCATCGGGGTTGGGTTTTCGTCGCTTGGCAACGACGTTGTAAAACAAGCCGCCCCCCCCGGTGTTTGCCATCGGGGTTGGGTTTTCGTCGCTTGGCAACGACGTTGTAAAACAAGCCGCCCCCCCCGGTGTTTGCCATCGGGGTTGGGTTTTCGTCGCTTGGCAACGACGTTGTAAAACAAGCCGCCCCCCCCGGTGTTTGCCATCGGGGTTGGGTTTTCGTCGCTTGGCAACGACGTTGTAAAACAAGCCGCCCCCCCCGGTGTTTGCCATCGGGGTTGGGTTTTCGTCGCTTGGCAACGACGTTGTAAAACAAGCCGCCCCCCCCGGTGTTTGCCATCGGGGTTGGGTTTTCGTCGCTTGGCAACGACGTTGTAAAACAAGCCGCCCCCCCCGGTGTTTGCCATCGGGGTTGGGTTTTCGTCGCTTGGCAACGACGTTGTAAAACAAGCCGCCCCCCCCGGTGTTTGCCATCGGGGTTGGGTTTTCGTCGCTTGGCAACGACGTTGTAAAACAAGCCGCCCCCCCCGGTGTTTGCCATCGGGGTTGGGTTTTCGTCGCTTGGCAACGACGTTGTAAAACAAGCCGCCCCCTCTGGTGTTTCCCATCGGGATTGGGTTTTCGTCGCTTGGCAACGACGTTGTAAAACAAGCCAATTCACTTCGTGAACTCGGCAACCAGGTTACCGTGGTTTTTTTTTCCTCCG